AAGTCACAAACTCGATGGCCAGTTTGTGGAAAACCACAGATAGTTTTTAATTTGAGTTACTTTAAGAAGTAATTGGAAGTTACTTTAAGAATAACATATTTAGAAGTTCCCTAACTTCTCAATGTAAAAACTTGGTTTCAGAGATCTTTTCTTAGAGTTTATATTCTTGATGATCTGACTGGTAATGTTTCAGCCCAATAAATACCTTCTTTGCTTGGAAATGCCAGAAGCTTGTTTTTAAAGGTTGTGCTGCATTCTTCTGACCTGTCTGCAGTAAAACCAGAGACCAGCAATTGTTTATGCTTAGTTTAGTGTAATAATGCATACACTATGCCATTTACAGAATCAAACTTTATGTATTTAATCAAGTGTTAATATCAGTATATGTATTTATGTACAGAATATGATACTACATGTAGGTAACAAGGAATTAATATATAATGATTTTAGGCAAACATAACTGTCTGCTTCTGCAGAAAGAATTATTAGCATAAAGTCACAACCATATTCAAGGATGATTCTTCCTAGTCTAATTTGGCCTGTGCTGGCATAGACAGCCATGACACAATACAAACTAACTTCTTCAGACAGCTGTCAAATCATTCTGGTACCAAACAAAATTTTATCCATCTTATAAAATAGGAATTATGCTACAGCTGGGGGTAGCTGAATGAAAGAGCCCCTTCCCTTCTAGATTTTGCTCTCTTCCATGCAACTCCTGGGGAGCATGGTGGTTTGTTCTGGAATATAAACAGTTGAGGGGGGCATAAAATGCCAGTTGGAGAAGGCGGTGATATTTTTGAGTGCTGAATGTGGATTTCACTGTGGTAGGTCCATGTGAGAATGCCAGAGTGTAGTATAAAATCAGTAAAAGGTCATTGCCTACTGTTTCCTTCCCCCCCCAAGCCATTATTTGGAGCATATTTCAGATGCTCTTCTCATCTCAAGGCTCTGAAATAAATTTTCTTTTTCTGGGTTTTTTTTAGTTCATTTCATGACAGTTATGTCAGTTGCTTTAGCTGGTTCCCATCATTTGAATCAACGGATCAAAGTACTTGCATCCTCCGGGACAAGTATAAATAAAAAGAATTGAAATATTCTTAGAAAATATTCTTGTCATACTGGGAATCATTTGCTAACTTAGCCTTTCCAAGAGATGAAACAAAGTGACAAAAAGCTGGCGCCAGTTCAGCCTTCTGAGTAACTCTGAAATCTTGCTAGTGACCTAAGTAAATTATTCTTAGGAAAACAAAATTACTTCAGGAGTATTACACGTATTGTATGTGTGACATACAGCACACAGTCCAGCCCTTTCAGGAAATCGCAGTGTTAAGAATACAATCTTATTATTACATTTGAGGAAGCTGAACATCTTAAGCATGATCTGTGTAAAATGCATGTAGTCTTTTTAACTGGGCAAGATGGATATGCCTTAACTGTGTTGACATCAAGCTGTGATCACTGTAGGAAAAATACCCTTGCAGCTAATAAAGAAGAGTGTCACTTTCATTAAGTTTCATTTTAACCCAGATTTTGTCTTCGAATTAATTTTAACTCAAAAGTTTCTGTTTTAGATGATAGAAATCTCAGCTCTCTCCATACCAGTATTTCCTGCTTTTTGTTCTGTTGAATGTTAAACTGTGTTAACACCAATTAAATCTACTCTGAACTATGTGTAAGTAATCTGTGAACTTTGAATGGTGTACTAGTTGTTTCTCTTTTTCTTTGAATTAGATGGAGAGCAGAAGACTCAAGTGATGATTCATGGAATTGAGCCAATGCTGGAAACACCCATACAGTGGCTAAGCGAACATATGAGCTATCCAGATAATTTTCTCCACATTAGTATCATTCCCCGACCTACTGATTGAAACTCGGCTGTATTGGTATGAGGATCATTCTCAAGCTGGAATTATAAGGGCATGTCAACTTCTTGCTTCTGTCAGTCTTGGCAGAGGCAGCCTGACCAGAAAAAAAAAAGAAAAAACAAAAAAACCTGAAACAAAACAAGAAGTCCTCACTGCTGGGAGCCAAACAGGAAGAGAGATCCTATTGTCAGATAAGGGCAATTGGGCTGATCTTATTTTGCATCACCACTGCTTTTCTTCACCGCTGTAATTAAATCAGTTGCGATATGAAAGAATTTACAGAACCTCTGCAAGTCTGCTGTTTTCTTGTAAAATAGAATGAAGCTGAAACTGTCAGCCGAAGAGCAAATGGAAATATGCCACTTGATTGTATTTCTGATTAACAAATAAACAGGGCTGTTTCCTAAAGCGGTAGTGTTTCAACTTTGAGAGTGGAAACATTGGTTTAATTTTCTAGAAAGTTAGACAGTGAGAGATTCAGTTACCAATAGCTTTTTGTAAAAGATCAAATTACTGTAAACCCTTCTTTCCTTAATGAGAAGTTCATGTTTACAGTATATGTATTGGTATGCAAATGATCTTCTAACTTTGATAACAAGCAGTGAGAAATTTTAAAGCAAACCCGTGAGCATGTTTTGTCATTTAAAAACATGCACAACTTAATAATTTACAAATACTTTTGGTTTGTATGCTGTCACTGAATGCTCCAGTATGTTTATTATTCAAACCAGTTTTCATAGAGTAGCAATGATGTAGGATAATTTGGCTCAGGATTTGTCATGGCATTTCTTTGTGCTCATCTACTTTTTTTTTTTTTTCCTGTAAGAGTATTTTCTTAATTTAGTTTAAAAAGTTAATAAAAAAAGAGTAAACGGATGTTGCAAACGATTGTATCCTGCTGTTTATTCCCATAGACTACAAAACAATTAAATCATAGAATGATGAGCAGATGTATTGCTTTTTAATAATCTTGAATTTTTGAAAGCTGAGACTTTTCCAAACTGGTACTTCCTTACATCTGAGTTTAGTTTTCTGTTGTGGTCCCTGAGCAATCAGGCTGAAATTTGGAGGCTTCTAATCTCATTGCACAGACTTTTTCGTAGTTTAGCAGATGTGTTTTTAGGTTCCTGGATTGCTTTGGTTTCTAAATGTTTGTTACCATTGCAGCTGCTACTAGGTACCTACCATTTTTTTTTATGTTAGCCTGAATTCATCAGACTCTGTGCTACATCACTCTGTCTTCAGTTTGTGGCTGTTTGTGGCACAAAACTGTGTTTGTAGTAGACATATTATCAAATATGTCAAATATTATCAAATATAAAGAGAGCATGACATTTTTGTTTCAAAAATAGTAATTGTTGAAGTTCCTACTCAAAGTTTTGGCCTGCAAATGTCCAGGTAATTCCCATTTTTTTTCTGATTAGTTTCCATGCTCCCTTTATGGTAAGGCACTTACCTAAAATTGAAAATCAATCAAATAAAACCTGTTTAAGAAGCAAGAGTGGAAGAATTTCCTTGGGTGAAGATAGAATTGAGGCTAAAAAAGCCTTAAGGGCAGAGAAAGTCAGTAGACAAATCAGATGATGTTTTAAATGTAAATGAGGAAATAGCATTAAGGAAATGGAAGGGAAAAGGTAATGGTGAAATAAACTGATGTTGTATTCTGCAGGTCATGAGCAACTTCTAAAACAAACCAAACCATGCTGATCTGTGTTTATGCAGAATTGAAATACAATATTCTTATAGTGGGATGATTTGGTTGAGTCATTCTAATTTCCAGTTCTGTTTGGAATTTTTGTTACACTGTTGGATTGGCATTTATAAACTTTCCTAGGCAGAGACATCTAAATATTCTGGAGAATTTCAAGGTCCTGCCAATGGGTAAAGCAAATATTTTGTTGTCTTCATATTAAAAAGTCTTTTGTAGGGATAATTTTTCCATTAATCAGGATAAGAGGTAGTACATTTTAAAACCTCTAAAGATTGTGTTTCCTTCATTTTAAGGTAAGCTGGAGTAAGTCACTGGCTATTTTAATATATTCTACACCAGCATCTTCTCATGGCCTGTAAATCCAATTTTTAAGGCCTAGCATGGAACAAAGAAATAGCTTGGCATTAAACAAACTCTTTTATTTTAACTATTTAAACTTTATTAAAAATAATAAAACAAAGTGTGAGTCTGTCTTTATTTCCAGATGAATAAGGATTTCTGTCATGGAGTAACAAAAACCATTTAATTAATAGTTAATAAGTAGGAAGAGCTGGTTGGGTGATGTATCTAAACAAAAACACATCATCACAAAAAATGAAGTAGCATCATTGCTTTACGTGATTTAAATGACTTTTTTGTAGTTTCTTTTACCTAGTGTGTGAATAGCAATAGCAACAGGAAGTGTGTTGTGGCTTAATTAAATACTTTGCTTTGAAATGTTGTAACTTCTTGAAAAAACAGATTTGTTCTGAATTGGTCAGAATCTAACATAATGCTTAATTTATTTCAGTAATAAGGAAAAGCATGTTACACATCTGCACACGCCCCTCTATATTTAGAATTTAAGTGTATCAGGTGAGCAATTTAAATCATAGTTTAAAACAAAATACGAAGCTTGTTGCTGTCTTCACTGTATTTCATATTATTTGGGAATGGCTGCCTTCAGTTTTGAATGTTAGTGAAGAAACAGTGAATTTTCCAGTTATTTCTTTGATACCACGGGCTGTCATTCAGCCCACTGTCATTTGGCACGCAAGGTGATAACTTTTCATTAAGAGCTAGAAATGGGTTTAGTTTTAAATTTATTCCCATTATTTTGAGGGGAAGGAGGGGAGGAACATGCTATATAAAATTGGTACTGGTAGAAAGTTGGGTGATTGTCAGTATTGGGGAGAACCTGAACTTGACATCTGAAGGCCTAGTAACCCTGAAAAAATAAGAGGATGGGAAAAGATGCTGTAATGAATATATGGAGGGGGCACAGGGACTAAGGAGAAGGATTTCTGCTGGGAAATCAGTAGAGGTGTACAACAGTGTGTTATGCTGCTAATAAAGCACCTGTAATCCTGGGTTCCCATTTGGTACAGAAAATTCAGAAGGGGGAAGGGGGGCGGTGTCAGAAATTGTTTGCCTTCAGGGTTAGTGGTTCTCACATGGAATTACTGGGGTGAGGATCTGAACATTCCTGTGGGAAAGGTAGTGATTTGGGCTGGTGTATGGATTGTGCTGCCTTAGTGGTAGAAATGCAGATACTGCTGTGCATGTGTATTGATGTGACTGGGAAATCTTGCAGGAATATGAAGAAATATTAAATCTTAAGGACAGATCAGGCACCAGAACAAGGAGTGTGAGCAAGCCATTAATAAACTTACAGAAAAGAAAACTGTTGAGCTACTTCAAACCCTTCTTCACTGAGAGTTTTGGCACCAGTGGAGCAAGCCAAGGTTCAGTTATGATTGGGTAAGAGCTTGCAATAGCTGTCATTGGACTTGATGACTGGGAAAGTCCTTTCAGTTCTGTGTTACTGCGTGTTTTGCTCTGACAGCCAGATACCTATCAGCTGGTGAAGACTCTTGATCATCACTTCCAGTTTTATTTATACGCTGCATAATAATGACTTTTTTAATGATTATTATTTTCTTATATGGTGAATGATGTTGAAGTGACAACTCCTTGTTTACAACACTGATGATAGCTGGTGTTTTTTCAGTTTCATTCTCTAGGAAAATCTGCATCCTGGCTCTACAAGTGTATTAGTGCACTCTTAGAGGACTTCTAGGGCTAAACAATGGCTATTCACTTTAGAGAATGTTTTAAGCAAATTTCCCAGCTTGCCAGTGGTAATGTACCAAATCAAGGGACTAGACAAAAAAATGGATAAATTAATCCCTTTCATGGGTATTTTCCAAAATAAATGGTTTTACATGTAATGATTTTAAACTTTCCAAAGAACCTACATGTTAATTTCCTTGCAAATTTAGCATTAGCTTACAGAATGTATTTATTCATATGCTGCCACATGTAGATGTTAAAACTGATCACATACTTGTATAACTAATATTAATATTGATTATTATCAAGGTGTACCAGAAAGAGAACAGTGTTAGTGATCACAAGGGCTCCTATGGGTGCCGTTGTGCTGGTGCTGCACATGGATGAAATGTGGGGATTGAGTGGATCTCTGGCAAGTACTACCACTTTTTCAAACTTTAGCCTTGCAGCGAAACCAAAATTATACTCTGTCTTTACTGCAAAAGTAGTGTTATTTTCTTGAGATGGCGAAAGTGTATTTTGAGGAAAATATTCCCTCCCTAACCTAATTTTTTTTTTTTTTTTTTCAAAATTCATGGCTGTATCAGAATAATTAGGTATTTGGTAAGTGACTTTAGCCATCGATTTTAGCAGTCCCTGCTTATTTGGACAGGAAAGAGATTCCTGAAGTGATATTTTTTTCTTTCCCTAGGATGAAAAGGGGTATGTACAGAGGTTCTTAAAATACCGTATCAGATACAGAATGGATTTCTGAATTAAAGCAAGTAGGTGTTTATTCTGCATTAAAACTTCTGGGTTTGAGACAGGGATGGTGACATTTCAAAATGTCACGGTAAACCTGAGTAATATCTCTTGAGAGAGAGGTAAAGATATGTAAAGTTTCAAGTGCTCAGAAGTAGATTTCAGATTTCTGTACTTTCAAGTTATACTATCAAATCAGCTTGTGGAAGAAGAGTTTAAAATGACAGAGGTGTTTCTTTCCTTCCCTTGCCTTTCGTGTCTCTACAGTTCATGTAATGAAGCTCTTTTAACTGTGAAATGAAACACCAGTTTCTCTAAACAAGAGATGAAAGAACACAAAAGAATAGAAAACTTCTTTCAAATACAGCAGTGCAAACAGGTACATGAACAGAGGAGTTCTGTGTAGTTTGTGTTTTTGTATGTATAAAATAACTAGCAATTATATGATGTTTAAAGGTATAGTTTTCCACGGGGTTTTAATATATTTATGTGGATAAAAAACATCTAAGGAAGAAAGAGAGGCAGTCAAACAACCTTGTTAGGGTTGGAGGTTGGAGGAGCTTGTCTTCACTGTGCTTGAAACTGCCAAGATGCGTCAGATTTTAAAATAGCACTTTCCACTGAAGGTATTTAAAGCCTTAATCCTTGCATCATTTTGCTGATATAGGTCAACAGATACAATAAAATGAATATGTTGTGGGAACATATGTATTGATCTAGTTACTAATACACATTATGTTCTCATTTTGGCACTCACAGTAATGATGAGTATTACACAGTGGAAAGAATAAAGCCAGTACTCGATACCGTTTGTATCTGCCAGCATCTGGAGGATCACTTGCTAGACTTTGTCAAATGGTCTAAATTCGCATGCACGTCTTAAAAGGTACTAGAAGTTAGGTCCTCTTTCAAAGAAAACCAATCTGGGGTGAGAAGTGGTGCGGGGGAGGAGAGAAGTCAATAGCATTGTTCACTAAACCTCTCCCTTCAGTGGGTGTCTTACAGTAAAAGGAATGCAGAGAGAGTGCACATGCAAAAACTGGTTGATGTCTTATTTCATATATATATATATATATATATATATATATATATGTAATTTCTCCTTGTGTATTTGAGATTTTGTTTCTTAGGGTCAGTACAGTCCCAACTGGCATTAAAAAGGCAATCTGTAATTCTTCCAGCTAGAAGGAGGTGCTCATGAGTATTTTCATTACCACAGAATTAAAGATCAGAATGGAAACTGCCTGGCTGAGACTTGTACCTTGCATGCTCTTCTAGCTATAATTAGAATAATCTGCACTTCAGAGGTTTGCTTTCCATCAGTTGTATGTACACACACCCTCACTGGATTTTTTTCCACAGCTGAAGATTAGTGAAATTCGCAGGTCTTTCTTCATTTTAAAGTTTATCTGAGTCTGTACAAGGCAAATGGGGGGCAGAGATCAGGCTGCAGGAGTGGCCCTCATGCCCTGAAGTGCCAGCATGACCCAGGAAGTTACGCAGCTTATTCACTGTTTTCACTATGACAGTTTTATCATATGAGTTCTGTCCCTTACTCCAAACTCTTCTTTAATTCACAGCTCCTCATTTTTAGCTAATCCTTGACCTCAGCTGACAAGAGATGAGGTTGAACCCGTTCCTTGCTCTCCAGCTCCCAGCTCTCCCTTGCGGGCTTACTATCGGTAACTGTACAGCAAGTATGACTCAAATCCATATCTCTGGAGCACTCCGTGACACTTCTGCTACGGCTTCTCCTTTGACATCCGAGGTGTGAGCTCACTTCAGTTACCACAAACCGGCTAGCCCTGTAGGAAGAAAGTGAGAGAAAGGTGCGGAGGAGGAGAGAGGGAAATGGGTTAAAAAACAGTGAAGGTGGGGCTTGAGAGAAAAATACTTCATGGGGAGTGAAATGACAGAGCTGGATTCTTGAGTCTCACCCAGGTTTCTTGTTCAGTCATCATTTTGCAGCTCCCACCTTGGGGTTTCCTTTCCGTCCTTTCCATGAATGTGGTGGTGTACTGGCTTTCACCTGCAAAGTGAAGCGTCTGGCACCCCTGGTGTCACCATCTGCTGTAGCCGCCTTCTTGGAGCCAGCAGTACCCATCACTTGAGCGGGGGTATTCAACTGCATAGTTTTAGCACCGTTGCCTAAGAAGGCTTTTCTTTACAAAAATTGTTTCAGAGCTTCTTCCTCTGCAGAAGAGGAGTCAGGAGGCCCTGCACAAAATGGGGGCACGGTCTGCGCAGGGACTACTTGTTACTGCTTTAATACATTGTGTTGTGGAAAACTGCATCATTGGAATTGATTTTTTATTCAGGGAATAAGTGATGGAGTCACTTGAGGACCTTTGTGTCATGAAAATTACTATTTCATGGTTCTGAAGTTTTACTTTGTACTGGTATGAATGTTTCATACACGCAGCAGAATACGTTTTCAACATGTGTAATAAATACCAAACCCAGTTTTGGTCACAAGCCTTTTCTGTTTCATTTTCCAGTCAGAATAAGATTCCATTATATTGGGTTTAGTTGTAAAAAAACATGTCGGTATTCAGAATCAGGCTGTACAGGCACTAGTAAGAGGACGTGTCATTTTTAATCATCAGTATTTCTGCACTTTACATCTTGGCACCTTTCAATAGGAAGACACACAAGGACTTTACCTTTCTGCTGAGGTGTGGTTCTGCTGAACCACCCAAGAAGTTTCTCTGCCAATCTGGGGGATCTGCTCCCTTACAGAAACCGTCCAGTTTTGTTTTATTGTATATAAATTTATAGTTGACAGCTGTTGAGAAGCTCGCTGGAACAATGGCCATGATGGCAATTTAACAAAAAAAGGAAAAAAAAAAACAACAAAAAACCACCCAGCTTAATTTATTGCCCAAATGTCCTTTACTGAGAAACCATAATGTCAGTTTTTAGTGAAATTAGTTGATGCCCTACTTCTGGTTGTGCATTCAATTATTCCCATGGTAAGAAGACACAACCCTAATGGGTCAGCTTACAATTTCCTTGAAATATATTGTGTGGTTTTAATTAATATGCCAATAAGAGGAACTTCGCGGTCTTTATTTTATCTCTTACTGAAACTTGAATGCATTCAGGGCTTCTGCTGCAATTGACTTCCTCGGGGAGGTGCAGCAGGAGCTGTATCCCCTCTGGCCTTCTTAAATCACACTGGGTTTAGTATCTTTCTGGGGCATAGGGAAAAATATCTCAGTTCTGTGAAGCCTATCTACTTGCACTTTTCTCTCCCTCCTCCCCCAAACTAGATGCCACAGTTTCCATAATGCAGCCCTTGCTTTTTTTACTGCATGCTTTAAACAACGAAGTGGGCGAACTGTAGCTACTGGGCGTAACGATTAATTCTTTAGCTGTCATCTCAGGGGGCTCTGAAATTTAGGTCTTCCAAGTTTATGAGCCTGATTTCTAACAGAGGCTTGGTCTGGGGTAACCACACAAGCTTCCAGGAAGATAACATGAGGCATAGATTAAATTCTCTTAAGAACCAGTACTCAAGTAAATGGAAGGATCCACAAAGACTGATACCTACTTTTGTTCACGTTTGTTTTGCTGCCTCTGTGTGTTTGCCTTCTGTGTACTTGCTAAAAGCAAACCCAATCGAGATTGTGTGATGGTGTATGGAAGAGGCCTGTTGCACAACTCCCCTTCCCCTGCTCGCACCCAAGTGAATCCTTGCTTGTGTCACTGCAGGCAATTAACAGTGCTTCAAAACCACATGCAGCTCCTATTCCAGAGTGGCATTTGATGGTATCAGGAAGCTTGAGGGTTTGAGAAAAAAAATAGAGGCTCTTATTCTTCATCATTAAAAGATGCTAAAATAATCAAAGGCATTGAGTGTGCAGCATCAGCAAGTAGACCTTTGCTGCAAGGTATGGTCTGGACGGAATAAAAATGTATTCTGCATCTTTAATATAATATATGCTTGAAATGAGCTGTAACACATTTTGATGTTCTGCTTTGATCCTAACATGATGTGAGGCACTACTCTGAAATGAACGTGGCTACCATCGATAAAGGAGAAGATCCTTAACATCTTAATATATGGGCATGTGCCACAGTTGCCACATTATAAACAAGGGTGTGAGCTTTTCACAGCTGCCTCAAGAAAGGGAACTTTTACCTCTTGTTTTCCCAGGGTAAACAGGTTGCTCGTGTCTCTGAGAGCAGAAGAGTGCTTTCTCTGGCATTGGCTGATGAGGGAGAACGTGAGGATGAATAATTACTGTGGATTTGCTGCGTGCTCTGTAACCACATGTGCATCTTGATCTGATAGTAATGAATCTGAGTGTTCATCTTTACCTGGGATTTCTCCCGAGGGATTTTGTTATTTATATTAAAGAGGGTTTTCAAGGAGCTCAAGTAACCTTAGAACAGGGATCACTTTGCTGACTAGCATTGGTGCTCATTGTTTGAAGCAAGTCAGTGGCTGGGATTTTTATTAGATTTTGCTATGCAATGAGATACAAAGTGTGAATGCTGTGGCTGGAACTTTCTTGAGAATTATTTGAGTTTATTTTGCAATAGCAAATAGGATCACAGGAACAAGAGGCTGCTTCTGCTTGTGCTGGCTCTCTGCTGAGTGGGTCACTGTTTGCCTATCTATTTAGTCTAAAAACAATCCTACCTCAACAAAAGAAGAACATCCTTAAGGTTTTTAGAACTAGAGGGAGAAGCCAAGAGCTAGGGAGAGTTAGCAGCAACTCCCATGACATACAAGAAAAAGCGGAGCTCAAACCTTGCACTTTTCATTACGTTACAAGCTTCTTGATACAGCAAAAGAGAAAGGTTTCCCAGCGATTTCTCTGATGTTCAGGTAGGGAAGACAGCTATGGGTGTTACTGCTGCTTTACAAGCAGAGTTTCTCAGCTTCTGCTGTGAAGTCTGCTGTCCTTCCTCTGCAGGGATGTGGAAATTCAACCTCCAGGAGAACTATTATTTCAGTTTTACTGGGGGAATGAATTGGTAGAAGTTTGGGAATAAAAGACAGTGTTTAGAAGACTACTTATGGCAGCAGGTTATTCTCAAAGCTGAGTTTAATCCTGCAGTGGAGCAGGCACTGCTCAGAACTGTGGTTATGTTGAGCCATCTGCTGATACATCGAGCAAGCCTGTCAGTAATATCTTTGTGATGGATTGGAGCTCAGAAGGGACAGGTACTATCATGCTTTGCGGTGCAAAGTTTAAAGGGCATGAGATATTGAATTCACAAGTTTGGTAAATGATGCACAGCCCGTATGGTTTCTTTATGGGATGGCTCTTTCATAGCATGGTACACCATTGACATGAGAAGCATTGTTTTAATTGTCTCAACTGATGTTCCTCTGAAAGCGCTTGGTGGGTAATTTTAATGGACACGGTATGGAAATAGTTGCACTGGCAGGTACAGTATCTGTTCATCTTACTTGCTTACAAATGTTCCAAGCAATCGTGTATGACACCTTCCTGCAAATGAGGTAATTCCCGCTTGGCACTGGGGCCTCTAAAGAAGAAAACTTTCATACTGTAACATTAAAGGCAGACACTTTGTTTTAATCACTTGCCAAAACAGCCGGAAACAATTATTAATTAATAGGAAACATTGACTTTTAACTTTGCAAGCTCTCCAAAGAAGTGTCTATGACAACTTGCATCTGGATTTATGGATTATTTGGATGCAGTGAAACTGGGCATCATACTGCAAAGGTTGACTGCTTTAAATTCATATTAAGTGTACACATAGCGCTCTTAAAATTAATATGTTTATAAACCTAAATTGGTTCAGTTGAATGCCTTTTGTTCTCTCTCTGGCTTCATTTGAAGCAACAACAAAAAGCTGTGCTTGTTTGTGTGTTTAACCAAAATGCTAAACGCAATTAATCTACCCAAAGCACACAAATATTTTTTGAATAATAGAGGCGCCCCTTTCCCAGTGTCTCTGGTATTTAGCACTCTGGTTTGGAGAGAAGAAGGCAACTTTTTCACATCTCATAAATAAAATTTAAGAAATCTTTTGCTTGGCTGGCTTAATTTGAACCAACCCAGGGCAGCACACTCAGATTTTCTTGACTGCTTTGTTAAGGTTGAGCATAGCATGTATGGTTAGGGGGAGGCATCATTCCTAGTATTTTAGACTCTGGATCTTACTTTCCCTGTGGAAAATATTGTCTGGCAAATGCAGCTCCCAATAAATAAGAAGGGGGTGGGATGAATAGTGCAGTCTGAGACAGCTCCTGTTTGATCTGACTCAGAGGATGATTATGTGGGGATTCATCCTGCAGATCTGCTCATTTTGCCTCTTTTGTCAAACAAAATAATGGAATTCCTTGGACTGTCAGAAACTGAGAATATCCAAAATATTTCAACAAGATCAGACCACAAGAGTTAGTTTATCTCAGCTGAGAATCTTGAGACATCCCAATTATTTTAACAATGGGAGAGTGGCTGCCTAGCCTGTCTGCTTCTAGCCAGTCGACTTCTCAGTTATTGAGAAATTCGTGGGGAATACTGTGACAAGTTTAGTAACTGCAGAATTTTTTCTCAGCTAAAATCTCTTTTCTAGCAAACACGAGAGCTTCGCTTTATGTATTTGCTACTGAGACACTTCCCTTAACAGCGTGTGGTCTCATCTTTCATTTAAAATTCTGCTAGTCCTGCTAAGCCTGCAACTTGCTCTTTGCCAGGTAACTCAATCTCAGCTCATCTTCTGTGCATCGGACTGAGTCTTAACTGCTGAGGATGACCTGGTCACACCATGTAGATTGGGTGA